TGATCCATGATTGTTCTAATTCATTGCTATGTGGCCCAATAAATCTTATGTCGCAATATAAACTAAAAAAGAACAATTAAATGTCCAGGCATTGTGCTGTGATTGACTGATCGTCTCTGATTTATCTATATAATTTGTTGGAACAATTAAAAACCCGGCTGGGCACCAGGCCAGGTCGTCGTCCGAATAAGGAAGAAAAAAGGGCAAGCCACAAATGACAAAGAAAGATGCAAAATAATTTAAAATTAAATCGTTTTCATTACAAACGATGCAATGATTTATATATCACGGAGTTCAGACAATTTTTGCTGGCTGTCCACACGATTACTGGTCATCTCTAAGGCACAAAAATCATGAAATGCAGAGAGAGAACACACCGTGATATACTCACTTCACGCGACAACTTGAGGTACACGATAGGGTAGCGGTATGTCTCGAAAAAAGGTGCATCAAAAGGAACCTACCTTCTTAAAGCTCCATAATTTCTCGTCATCTACAGAGAGAAAATCATCAGGCTTAGCTTCAGTCATTGTCGATTACCACAAGTGCAGATATGCAACAAATGGTAGACGAACAAATTAGCCAGCGTGATCTTATGACATGCAGTCCTTCAGTTATCACTTTATCAGTTATTTTTAATACTATACAAGCTTCAGAGGGGTGTTTGTTTTTTAGATAATTGGGATTTTTTTTTTCTGTAGCCAAACGAAAACTGACGGTAATTTTGCATCTCCGAGACACAGAATATATATCAATGAACATAAAAAAAAAAATAAATAAATAAAGTGGGCCATAGGAGCTCAGAAATTTATCGGTTACCCGAGGTTGAGACTTTTTCCTCCCCATGTCATCATCATCATCGTCGTCATCATCATCATTCCCGAGCAGTCTACGAAGTGAAGAAGATGAAGAGTTGTCTGATTTCCTTCCCCTTTTAACGGTGGTGGTAGTGCCCCTGCCCCTGCCCCTTCCCCTTGATGGGGCGGCTCTTTTTTTGCCTTTCCCTTGCAGAGTCCCGTCATCATCCTTTCATTGCACGGTGAAATCGAATTTTGAAATTAGCGTGAGTTTGATCCAGAAAGGGACTAAAGAAATATTACTGATAGCATCAAACAAGTAGTTAGTGTCCATACTGAGCTGTCGGCAATGTCATTAGCATCGAGTTTAGCTGTCTCATCATTTGAATCCGAGTCGACTTCATCATCCTCATCGACCAAACTCCGAACAGAAGCTGATGCCGCAGCTGATGCGGGTCTGCAGAAAATAGAACGGGAGTGATTTTTTTCACCATCATGAGATTTTTACAGTTTATTTCTCACAGCTGAAGGTGTTGTGCTCATTATTCAAGGAAATACTATTAATAAAAGTGGAATATAGGGCCATGTCCTGTTTAGTAGAAATACATGCAGCCTTATGAACCTTAGACAATAGCAGGGCTTTTTAGGATGGAATACCTAGTGTAGTTTTACGTTCGCATGCGCTATGAAATCAGAAGGTGTTATTTTTTTTAATAAAATTGATGCTTCTAACGTAACGAGTAACTATCCCGAATGTATAGCCCATTATTCCTTTTTGCCTGTTTGTGATTTACCGAATATATAATTATCATTTATAAATGTAATAGATTCACCATTCCGTTTATCTTCACAACCTTATATAATATATATGCAACTTATGAATAACAGTATTTATGGCATATCAATAATATATTTGCTTATTTATGGTTTCTAATACTTGCACTTGATTTATGTGAAAAGTCAAGGTGGAGGAGTGGACTATATATTTAAAATAATAATAATAATAATAATAATAATAATAATAATAATAATAATAATAATAATAATAATAATAATAATAATAATAATAATAATAATAATAATAAGGACAAGAGAAGGCAAAGGAGAAAAGACAAACAAAAGCAACTATATAACAGGAAAAATTAAGGCTAAAACCCAAAAAATACAAACATGAACAAAGATACGTGCAGAACTAGACACAATCAAATTCTAATTATTCTTTTAGAATTAGATTCTTCAGAACATAAACGAAGCCAAGAATAAGGCAATAGGCCCCAAGATTTGATTGAAGGATTTCCACATTTGTGAACTCTAAAGTTTCACTCTAAATTCTCAAATAGTAAAAGGCATCAGTTAAGTGAATTCGAAAGCACCGTATTCTATTCCAGCCTCTTTCAGATTTAGATAGATCTCCAAGTTAGCATGTCTCAGAAGAGAAGGGGAACCATCAATATTAAGGTTGTAACAGATAGGGATGGAAGAACAGAAGGAAATTGTTTTGCAATAGTTGGTGCTAAACTCTTGGGGATCTTAATCTGTTCTTAATCGGTGGGATTGACTGATTAATATGCTGGACCTACTCAATAATTTGGCATATAATGTAGGGTTGTCGGTAGCATAAAGAGAGATCAATTTTTGTCATAGATTAACTGTATGTGAATTATATTCTTGCTCAGGAAGTGATTGCAGTTCTCCTTTTTTCACCATACAGTTCGGTGATTATGTTTTTCTTGTGATATTTTTTTTATTCTCTACACCTAACAAAAACACACACCTGCCTCAATACCATACTACCATCTAAAGCAAAATTTGTAATTACATCAGCAAAAAACTGCAGAAGAACATAACATTAAGCTAACCTTTGTGAATGTCGAAAACCCAAGGCCGAATCTAGTGTAGTCTGCTTTAAAGCATTGGAAGTCCTTCCTCTCCCTCGCCCTCTCCCTCTTCCAGTAGCCCTACCAGCTTCCGGAACTTGACGAGAGGCCTTCAAAGATTGTGAAGCCTGTTTCCCACCCTTTTTGGTAGATCTTCCGCCAGAAAATGTGGTAGCATCCTCATCATCACTAAAGGAAACAGCACTTCCAACACCTCCGGTACTTCTTCCTCTAATATTCTGCAAGTGTGTACTGTATACAGTTACTAAAAACAAATACTTAAGCATAACTCGCAAAAGCAAATTTATATGACATTAAACTAAAATACTCGGACAAAACCTCAGAGGACTGGCCACCAAATGTGAACAGATGGGCATCTTTTGGAGTCGAGGCTCTTTCTTTGACACGTTCCTGCAAATATGAACATTTATTATCACTAAATTTATTTATTTTTAGACAATTGAAACCACCCTTTCCGATTTGATATCAGCATGCACAATTTTGAAGAAGCCAAAATAGTATATGTGGTAGGGTAAGTCCCACAAGCAATAGGGAGAAAACAAAGTAGGAAAGGAAAATCACGTGTTATCCTCAAGGACACAAAGTGCTATTTTGGTGGACAATGAGAAAACTAAGTTGACCGAATCTATAACACAAAACAATGTGAACCACTGTCGGTCTTAGTAAAGGTGATTCATAATCACATCCAATATTATAAACTTGTGCCAGGTAATAAGTCATTCATCCATGTTTGTTCTGATGATACATCTGCAAGGAGTGTCATATATATTATATGTTCTTACTTTCTGAAATTAGATTATATATATATATATATATATATGCTACAGGATAACAACACTTCTCCATTATGTGTGAAGCCTATTCTCATGCAGCATTTCTGTTCATGGAAGGAAATGAGGATGAAGGGAAAGATTTATTGCCTCTAAACACTCCCCAACTTTGACAATAATATCTTCCTCTTCAAACTTCTGCACATCTGGATCCTGAGCAATTTTACTCTGTCACAGAAAATTCTCAAATTATTGAAATTTCTACCATGTTAAAACCAATAGAGCAATAGTAGAAACCGGGAAAGTACTCAATTGATACCATGAAATAAATAATAAACTATAAAAACTTACACGAGTTTCTTCGAGGTTGTATTGCAGACAAGAGTGGAAGGCCATCTTGTCATCCTTACTGACAAAATTGTGTAAGGCCACATCCAAATCATTGACAGGGAGTATTTCCATCTTCTGCAATATCATATAAAAAATTCTATCAAGGTTAGAAATTAGGACAATATAGAAGTACATGCAATTTGTTAGACCATTCAGCATTTTTCTCTTGAGCACCTCAGGTTGTCAAGCAATGCAAATTTAGGTGGGGCAAGGCACTCGGTATTGCAATTGACAGAAATGAGGAAGCCAAGTTTAGCAAAATTAGGTCTGCTGTCCGCACTCCATCATAATGCAAGCGAAAAAAATATTGGACTTTCAACCACTTCAAGTTATTATAGGTGACAAAAAAATTATGCAGGTCGATACTTACAAAAAGATCACAAGGTATGAAGGCAATTCATACGTTATGCTACAGAAGATCAAAGATATTCAGCTATTATGAGGCATAATGATAACTCCTAAAATTATGCAAGAAAAGAATGACGATGAACTATACCAGATTACTTTCAGCAACTAAAGCCTCAATATTTTGCTGATTCAGTTCTTCAGGTCGTAGACGTTCAGATTCGTCAATTTTACCTAAAACAAATGAAATTACTAACATGAATACGTCGAAAAACACAAGCAAAAACTTAATATCAAATAATAAATCTCTCGACTGAGTTTCAATACTGGACGGAAGACATTGTGGTATGAATGAAAGGATGTCTCAGATAAGTTGGGGAATGAAGCACAGACATACCATCAGTTTTACCCCTTTTAGCTGCTTTAGAAAATATAAGAATGTCCTGAGGATTTGCTACCTATATTTTACATTTACACCGTGGAAATTGTCAGCCTTGGAAGTTTTAAATGGATGTTGGTGAGAGTAAACGATCAAAAAATAAGATTAACATAATCCATACCTTTCCGACATACTTTTGCCCAAACCTTTGCGGATTTATAGTCATAAATCCAGAATAATCCACCTATTTAATTTAAAATCAAATACATAATAGAATGAGAAATGGACTAGACCAGAATGACGGCAAGAAAGAGCCTTGGTTGGAAACTTAAAGAAGTAAAAACAAGAACAAGAGTCACCTTGACTCGAACTAAAGGAAGCTTGAGCTCTGCTTTGTTCGGAACATTTCGGTTAGCCTTTTCTATCAAACTACTTACCTACAAAAACTCAAAAGGAAAATAACTGGAATAAAGCGGCAAATAACAAAAATAAATAAATAAACAAGAAAAGTGTGCAAAATAGAAAAAGGAAACTATGTTCGTGTGCGTTTACAGAGTCAGAGTGTACAGATAAAACAAAAGAAAAAAAAAAGCATTCTCACCACTTTGTCCAAATGTTCGAGTATGGAATTCTGATCATTAGCATCGATATCAGGTTCATCCTTCAGCACTACCTATATACCATACACTATAAGTAACTGCAAGGTGATGTTTCTCCACTGGGAAAAAAAACACACACACAATAATCGCACCTCTGTATACTCAAAAGGCCTTACTTTCTTGAGAGGTATCTTCGTCGGTCGATACTGATTTCCCTAGTTATCAGCAATAAACAAATTATATTGACTATGATACTGATAAGAACATGAATGGAAAAACGTAATAGAAAACAAAGAGCTGAGAAGGAAAGTTTTAGGTAATAAACCTTAATCTCTAAGAGCAGCACATGTTTTGGCTTCGCTTCACCATCAATCAGTGATGTCGCAACAGATGAACCAGGTTGAGTAATGTGAAAACCCATACCTGGAACTTCCTATTTCACCAAACAGCCATCAATAAGACACAGTAACTAAATAATAAGACCAGTAAATAGAACTCAGCAGTTCAGTACCTGCGGATCAACAAGGCATTCGTGCTCATGCCCCCAGACAATAAAATCCAGAAACCGAGGCAAAAAATGTTCGTTTATTGCATTTTTTGGGTTTGCTTTCACTCTGAAATCAGAATAAAGATATTTTGATTTTATAATTTCAATATTCTTCTGAAATCTTAACTAAAAATTATGTGATTCACCAAGCAGGTTCATAAAGTTCCTCAGTAATAATCTATTGTGCAACTAAAATGCACTTGTTGTTACCTATTCTGATGAAGTACTAGTATATTGAACCAGTCTGAAACTTGACAACTTTCTTGGGCCTCCGGTCGCATCCACTGCACAGCATGTGGCGTCTGATTTTCACAAAACAAAAGAAATTAGAAAAAAAAACTGTCTAAAGATTGCATAATAACCAGAATCAGACAGCTTATAAACCTGAAACATTCGATTCAGGCGTTCGTCTCTGATATTCCCAAGGCCATAAAGAGCTACCGATGTTGAGCCCTACAAAATTGCTGTTCAGAAGTTATTCAAACAAAAATAAGAGAAAGAAAAAGAAAAATGTTTCAGGCTTCAACTGAATAATTTTTTCACTGAAGAGAGTCCCAAACAAACCTTTTTTATAAGAATTGGGTAGAGAGTGATCTGACCAACACCTGACCCTTCAAGAATCATTTTCCCAAAATAGTTAACTAGATTACATGCTGAAAGGATATCAACTGCAGAAAGATTGTCCTGCAATAACAGTAGACAAGAACAAACGGAGAAAAATCTCTAAGATGATAATTGAACTCTGCAAACTAGAACCAAGCATAAAATTGAAAACGAAATATCTAACACACACACCTGCACGCGTATTAGCTAAGAATCAATAAATTTTAGATCTTACAAATAATTATTTTGAATTCGTACACACAAAAAAGAAGTGCCTGGTGTCTCTAAAACAAATAGAAATAACATTTCTGTAGTAGCCATAAAGAGAAGCTTTTCAAATATGATAAAGGTCAAGCTTTTCATTTTGCTGGCAGGTGCCAATAAACAACAATGTCATCGTTCATAGATACAAGCTCAGCCTTTTACCAGAGAAATCATACCACGCCAGCGGGATCATCGTGATTTCCATGGATGCTGAAAACTGGCATCCCGACATTGAAGTGAGGATCTTCATAGTTCACTTGGCCAAAGCTACAAAAATAAACCAAAGCCACGTGAAACCTTCACAAACGACACTGTACATGGGGAAAAGGGATATAGTGCTTTAAAATGGACTTGGGAACTGGAGGCTAGAATTTACAGGACATACTGGACAACAAAAAAATGTTCTTAATAGTCTTCAACAACCAAACTTAATCAGGTTTGCAGTGGCAGGAGCCATATATTGTAAAGTTCTTTTGGCAGATGTTCATAAAGATAACCGACAATCAAATCAATCAAGATGAGAAAAAATCCAAAAAGGCTTCATTCAAGAAAATAGATAGTATCAATTGAGATAAGGACAACGCGTTTCTAAGAATTAAGAGATTACGAGTTCGCAAAGTTCATTGTCTGATCGCTCACGACTTGAAACTGAACCGGTCGATCGTTGAGACAGTGGCGACGGAGGATTTCAATAGCTTTGACTAAGGTCGACCTTGAAGGCTTATTCTCATGAAAAAGATCACCCCCAAGGAGTATAAAGTCCACCTAACCATTTCAAATATGTAAAATGAGGTAAAGTTAAGATAGACTAGTTAATAAATAAAAAGAACATTTTCCAGAGAGAGCGGATACGTGAAAAAAAAAAAAAAAAAAAGGTTTATCTGGGTGAGGCATGCTTGTATGAAAAAACGAATAGTCCAAATAGTCTATACAATCTATGTGTGCTTTTCAAAAATTCGAACATTCAGTTGAACCAGATAAGTGTATCCTCTCTGAATTATCAGGTACAGATATAAAAAGATAATAACAATATGAACATCAAGCAGAACTAAAAGTAACAGAACTGAAACCTATACCTGTTTTTGCTCAGCTATGGAGCAAATCTCGTCAAACGCCTGAAACGAATCATGCCGGCGAATTTCATCCTTCTCCATATAACCAAGATGACAGTCCGTAGCTACTAATATTCGAAGCATATCACTTGTATCTTCCCTGAACATGCAATTAACCAAAACAAATATGCAGGAACCAAGTTCACCAAAGTTCACCGCCAAAAAATGAAGCAAAAATTGCATTTAGTTCTGAAACAATGTCGATGGATCAGTTTTCACTCACCTTGAAGATTCAGCCATTTCGTACTAAACAGACTTTCACTGCGTATGCTGCAAACACCAATAAAAAATAAAAGATAATTATCTAATAATTCCTGAAAAAAAAAAAAGGAACAGTATGAACTACGAAACCCTAACTCCGATAAGCAAAACCGACCGCATCATAGATTTTATTCGACTAAGATGGAGAGACACTAAGGCAGGTACTGTGTTATATAAAAGGAGACGAGCAGCTACCTTGACGAGATATTGAAGTGGCGGAGGAGATGATGAAGAAGTAGTCGGCTGAGCAGCTGTGTGGCGGAGTAGAGTGGCCGTAGCCCGTCGGCGGTGGCGGGGATTTTTTTAAAAATTATAAATAAATAAATATCTATTTTATGAAAAATCGATTTTCTTCCAACCCTTTGCAAGAAATCGACAAATCGTTGTCTATAAACGACACTTTTGGGGGCGTTTTATATGATACACAGTAATAAGGATATTGAAAAAAAAAAAAAAATATATATATATATATATATAAATATAAAAATGCAAAAATGATGTGGGTTTTAAATAGGGCTGAGCAAGGGATTTAGAGAATTTCGAACTGTTTCGAACACCGAATCGAAATCACTCCAAACCGAAAAATATTTGTTGATTGTTTGACTTTATGCGAATCGAACCGATAAAATAATTGGTCCTGTTATGGAAATTTCACAAATATTCATACTGAGAACCGAACCCGAACTGTCTCATACCGTACCAAACCAAAAAACTGAAATAAAGAACTGAATTATAACATTAGATGTGTGTTACTAATATTTTTATTTCAACTTCGAGTCTATATAATTTGAGAATTTTTAAAATACAAATAAAGTATTGTAATAATAATTAACATTCACTTAAATTTCATGTTTAGTAATAATTGATCTACAATTGATTTTCTTCTATTATAAAAAATTATTTAAAATCCTATGGAAGGTTAAAGAATATTTTTTTAAGAAAAAACTATATTATATTTTGTTTGAATTTTCAATTTTCAATACTGATTGCACAAATTTAGTCCTAACTAAAATTTAGAGTTATTTCTAAAGTTGATTTCAAATAAAATGTTTAATATGAGGAAGTATTGATAAATGTTGGTTTTTTTAAAGCATATAAAAATTAAATAACTAAATTTTAGAATTATTTATAAAGTTGATTTCAAAATAAAATATTCAATATGATCAAGTATTGATAACTATTGTTTTTTAAAGCATATAAATAAAAGTATAATTAGGTAGTCATTCAAAAAAAAATCTGAAGATCCAAACAGAACCATACCGAACTGAACCAAACCGAACCATTCCGACAGTCCTGAAAATTGAACCGAAAAATAAAAATCTCCGAACCAAATCGTCCCAATTTTTTGGTACGGTTCCGGAGATTTTTCTGAACCATATCGACCCATGCTTACTCTTATTTTTAAATATTGCTATTTTTTAGAAATTTACATAGAGACTCGAAACTACAATTTGAGAAGAAATTTTCCATTATTATTATTATTTTTTTTATTTAGGGTTAACTATTCCATTAATTTATAGTTAAGACATGGAGTTCTTACAAATTCCACTTTTTTCGTGTATATGTTTACTTTAATATAAAAATGAAAGTTTAAATTGTACTAGACTACTAGTACAACATATGTACTACTGGTGTATTTGAGAAAAAAAATAAATAAATAAAATTATAATATAAAATAAGTATATAATTTTTTTTTTATTGTGAGATCATAAAAGTGAACGTATAATAAATAATAAGCAAGGGGAATTATTAAAAATGATATGCAATTTTACCCTCAAAATGTCAAAATAATAATTATGTTAATTATATTTATAAAGTTATATATGTAACAAAATATTATTTACAACTCTATTAATTTGATTTTTTTTTTTTTTTTAAATTCAACCGGATAAATTTGAGTCACTATGATTGTCATGCTTGTTTATAGATTTTCTTTTTTAAATGCAATAGACAATATTAAACTAATAGCACAATAAACTATAGGGGTATATATTCATTGGGAATTTCGAGTGAGATGATGAAATTTTTTAAGATTATACATTTTTTAAAAATTTCAGATTTAGGAGTGACATATGCTACCACACATGCTACCACACAAGGTAGAGCAAACCCGCTAAACCGGCCAAGCGAGTTGGTTGGTCGAACATTGCTGAAGGAAAGCCGAACGGAGGTTAAATACTAGTGCAAAGCAAGGAGTCTCCAGGACGAAGAAGGCATGAAGGGTTCAAAGGAGCAACGAGTCAAGCCAGGGCCCTCGGATGGCCTGTTAGAAACACGACCTGTATTGTTGGTCATGTGATCGACCAGGAGGATAACACTTAGGCTCGAAATAGACAATATTCTACCTCAGTAGGGTTCGAGCTTGGCTCACTATTAGACGGTCTGATGAAGAAGACTAATAGATAAGAAAAAATATTAATATTAATATAATAATAATCACACGTGAATAGGGCCACGTGGGTTAGCATTCGGGCACTTCAGGCAGCCTAAAATGAGTTCTTGCCCATTTGATCTTTCGATCCTCACATATATTTTTAAAATAATACATTCAAACATTAAAGTATCCATAATATCACATAAACTTTTATACATAATTCTGATAATAATACTAAAATACTCGTGATCACAAATATCATGAGCATGCCCTTGGGCAACTATTTTTTCCTACTTAACAACCTCATCAACTTATTTTGGTCAGAAAATTTGCAAAATTTTAATTGGAAACGCCGAAACGGCAATAGGCCCGGCCCGGCCCGGCCGTTAATGAACCCATCGAGCACCAAAAGTTGGGACACACTGTAAGCTCAAGCGCGATGAATACTTGCTTTCCAGAGCATTGAACAACATCCAGTCAAAGATTTTGTCACAAAAAACTTGTTCAACCCTCAGAACAGCTCAAACTCCAAATGCCCACCATCAACATCACAGTCCACAAACCTTTTCCCCTTCTCCAAAACCCCCACATCACGAAACTCCGGCACCTGAGGCGGGGCCTCACACCTGATCAGGGCCCAGTTCAGCCCCTCGAAAAACGGGTGCTTCTTTATCTCTGCAGCCCCAGTCTCCGTCCCCAGCCTGTTCTCGGGCTCCTTCACCAAAAGCCCGCGGATCAGGTCCCGGGCCTGCAAGCTCACCATCGGGCTCTCCGGAAACCTCAGACTCTTCAAAACCACATTCGCCAGTGTCTCCTCATTACAGGACCCTTTAAAAGGCGTCCTCCCGTACAGAAGCTCGTAAAGTAAAACCCCGAACGTCCACCAGTCCACCGCACTCCCGTGCCCCTCCCCCTTGATAATCTCCGGGGCCAAGTACTCGTGGGTCCCGACAAACGAGTTGGATCGGGCTTCGTTGGGCTCGGCCACGAGCTGAGGCAGGGCCCTGGTTCGGGCTGCGGCAGCGGCTTCGGCCTTCAGCTTACGGGCCCGGGCAGCAGAGGAGAGGAGGCCCGGGCCAAAGCACGACACTTGGCACGAGGGCCCGGCACAGAATGGGTCGATGCAGTCGGATCCCGCGCACGGGCCCGAA